ACTGACAGGCCGGAGGAACTGAGTCTCTTTAGTCTGAAGGATTCTTTCAGGAAACAGATGGATGAGACCCCTGGACTGATTAAACAGTTAACCACATTGCTCTCATAGGCCACATGACCTCCTCTCATCTGAAACGGTTTTATATTCTTACTGGGAAGTTTCAGAGTTGCAGAGGTGGCTAACTTTGTTTTTATTTTATTCCAGAAGACAAAGACTGACAGCTTCAAAATCTATGAAGTCTGGGAGAGCACATAAACATCTTTCAAGTAGACTCACGTTTGTGGAAGCTCAAGGCTGAATGCATACTCGTGTCTTCCTGAATGGATAGTGGTGAGACTTTCTTCAGAGTTGTCCTCATCTGAAACAAAGGAAAACAAAATTCCAAATACACGTATACCATACCTGTGAAACAGATATGAGGGTCGCTGTATGGAAAAAAAAAAAAAAAAAAAAAACAGTTCAAAACACATTTCTAGGTAAGGAAAAATACCAGAATTGAAACATTTTAAAACATCACTGCAAAAAAACAGAAACAAAAGACGGATAAAAATTACACAGGTCACAATTAATTCTGGAAACCGGATATGTTAAACATTTATAAATGTAGATAAAAAAAACAGGAAGTCAAGTCTCATAAAAAAGGTTCGATGTGTATTTGCATTGAAACCAGTTTCCTAGAACAAAGGTAATGAATCTCTATTAGTCTCCAATAAACACCCTCATAGGCAGAGCAGCTCCACTCCCGCGCCCATGAGCATGAAGAAAAGGCGATAGGGGGCTAGTCATGGCAAACAAATTCCCCCTTATTCTCCTCCTGAAAAACATCAGCATTCCCTCTCCCCGTCAGTGCTCACACACCACTTTCAAACGACCCCCCAACACACACTCCTGAGGCGCTACAAAGGACCCATCGCAGTGCTCTCCCCACCAGAGCGCCCGCTCATTCGGACACGGCCTGGGAAAGAGGTGGGGGGGTTGTGGCATTTGTAACAAACTCCCTTCCTTGAAGGAGACCCACTGCCCTTCTTCCATTTCAGAGGATTGCGCGAAAACAAGAGACAGACTAGTTTTTGCTTTCGTCTCATTTTTGCGTTTGGCACAGTTTGACAACTCCCAACAATTGCTTTGTCGGGTTTTTTTTTTAAATTGCGTTTTAAAACGCAAGCATGCACAGCTTGTGAGAGACACACACACACGCACACACACCGGGCGCCTCTCCCCCAAAGTTACAATTCTGCCAGCTCAGCGCCAGCGCTCTGCCCCTGCCTCAGCAGCAGCAGCAGCTCAGTCCTGGTAAACAAGTGCTGAGCTGTCAATCACAGACAGACTCGAGCAGGAGAGGACCGGCCTAAACCGGCGCGAGCAGCTCCCCCGCACGCACGCACTGCAGAAACCGAAGCTGCTCGCTCCCTCGCGGCGCCCCCTGCCGAGCCGCCCCGCGCACTGCAGCCGCCCCAGCGCCCGGCCGGCCTGCGTAACAGACCCCTCCAGGTGAGAAAATCAAGAGACCTCCCCCCCCACACACACACCACACCACAGAGAAAATGCACAATAGCAAATAAAGACGCATGAGGCGGAACAAGTTAGAATTCATCTCGCTTTTATTTTGTTAGCGGCGGGTTTGTTTGTTTTTTTTACACAGGGGGGGGGGGAGACAGCTTTTTTCTTCCCCTAAAGCAGCAGAAAGGTATAAATATACAAAAAAACAACCAACCAAGGTTCACATTGAGATCATACAGATGAGATACATGCCAGGAAGGGGCACCACTGCGGTGCTGCTCCCACAACATAAGCGTTTCGCGTCTTACATCAGTGTACAAAACACACAATAAGTACAGTCACATCCCAAAAGAAAGAGCTGGAACAGGCTTGTCTGGTGCCTGTCCTCCGGGCTGAAGCGCATTACAGTTTAGAAAAGGGTGAGAAAAGCGACCAGACCCGGCTGTAGAAGAGTCTGGTCGGAACAAGCATGGAAATCACGTGTCAGTCCGCCGCGCAGCTGATAACTTCTAGTCCAATCAGGCTCCAGCACTGCCTTGGCAACAGGACTAACAATCCCGGCTCGGCCAATGGGCGCCCGGCGGGGGCGGGGCCAGCCCAGCCGGCCCGAGCGCACCAACCCCAAGTGTCCAAACCTGCCGAAAACTTTCTGAGCTTTCTGCGCACCGCGACGGCGGTGTAAACACAGCAAAATAAATAAAAAAAACATACAAAAATCAAAGTGTGTACGCGCGGCGGTTCGCCAACCGCTACAGCTGCCCTTCCAGAGGAAATAGCCAAAGTGTCGTGTGTTTTAGAAATGGAGACGGCGCTTAAGGGAGTTTAGTTTTTGTCGCCCATGCCGCTGCGGATTAAAACGACACAGACCACCGGGCCGCCAGGAGCCTGGCTCCAACTCCGGGGGTCTGCGTGCTCGCAAGTTCCCAGGAACTGCGATTCAACGACTGGCACTGTCTGCGCCCCTTAAACTGCCGATGGGGAAATCTCCGTCCCCCGGCCCCCCTTCCGCCTCCGGCATACAAGAGAGCGCAAACCGGGGGTCGACTCCTGGGGCAGCCGTGGAGGAACCGGGGGTTGGGGAATGGGAGCTGAACCCAGACGTGCGCCAGGAAAAGACAGGTGGGGATGCGCTCGCTCAGCCCTGCAAAGGCATGAGGTCATCGCCGCACACGTGACCGCGCCCAGCCAATCGGGGGGCGAGAACGGCAGAGCCCGCTGCCCCCCCCCTCCTCCCCAGCAACCAGTTTCTGAACAGGATTGAACCGCTTTTAACAAAGGGTGGAAACTTAAGGAAATCATCTTTTTTGGGGGAAAAAAAGCCAAATGTAACAAAGATTTAAAACCCAAAGAGCCCGGGCATAACCCCGGGTTCCCGCATACGTCCAAGGACGCGGCGCCGTGAGCCGTTTCTAATTTCTTTTTACCAAATTTCACGTTTACCGCATTGACTCCTGCTGTCCCGAGAGTCGACACGAGTTCTGGTCTAAAATGAACTACTTTTAAAAAAAAAAAAATCTATATATACACACACAGTACATTAAAAAAAAACAACGACAAGTAAGCAGTTAATTGTCTTTCGTGGTGTGTGAAGTACTCGCAACCTCTCACTGTCCGAAAGATGAACGGGCATCTTCTTCCAACTACACATCCCAGCCTGAAATTCCTTCAGATATTTCCTGTCGGTATTAACAGCGACTGGATTTTAAAAACCGGACCCCGACTGGCAAAACTACCTAGTGTATTCAGAGCTCCGTGGAGGCGATTCGGTTTCTCTTTTCACTCACACTGCCTTGCCTGACCTAACCTGCAGCCCACTCGAGAAGTTCGCTAACCCACTCGAGAGGTCCAGGACCTCCAACGCTCACTTGAGGGAGAGGGGAGACGCTCATTTTACACACAATATTCGACGAAGGAGGACGTGCAAATCGATCTTGCACTCCTGGGCCGGAATGAATGAACTACTGGGATATGGGGGCATTCAGCCGAGCGTCTCTCTCTAGCCAAGGGCAGAATTTCGGTGCAACTACCATGACAGCCCCGGGATCACGGTCTTCAGAGGACAGGGCAGCTCACGGAAACGTGACATTTCCACCCCCCCCGAGTCCTTAAATAGAAAAGGCAGAAGCGGCGCGTTCCCCCTTACCTCTCTCGTGTCCGATCAGGATGTCCCTGTGGTTCAAGTACTCCACTTCCTCGGTGTAGTTCTGCGTGTACGCCGTGTTGGACCCGGCGTTCCTCGACTCGGTCCAGCGAACTTTTGCAAATCCTTTCGCGTGGATTTTCAGGGACTTGACCCGGATCTCCCCGGTGACTTCAATGACGACTCTCCCCGAGACCGAGTCCCCGCTGGAGAACACGGCCACGGCGCTGTCATTCAGGCAGTCGTAGCTGACTGTGAAACTCTTCACCTTGCCTAGCACCATGGTTTCGGGTTTTTTTTTTTGTTTTGTTTTTTTTGTTAAGAACACATAAAAAAAATAAGGTCTGAGCAGACAGCCACGACCAAATTAAAAAAAAAAAAGTGATCGTAGCAAAGCACGCACACACACACAAACAAACAAACACACTGATCGACGCCTTTGCCGTGCAAGAGCTGCAGGCAGGATCAGTGCTTCCCTCGCCAGCCGTTCATTGAGATGCTGGTAGGCTAAATAACAGCACTCGATGCTGTTATCGCGCACCTCCTCCTCTCCGTGGTCTCTGTACAAAGACGAGCTGCTGCTCCGGTTCCCCTCACTTAAAAGCGAGGATTTGGTGAAAAACAACCCCACCGCGCATGCGCCGCGCTCCCCCTCCCATCCCTCCTTCCCAGCTCCTTCCGCCTCCCGCGAGCGAGGGGGCGTGGCTCCGCTGACACCTGGCCCCGCGCCAGCTGACTGGAACAGCTGATCGCGAGCCGCCCGGCCAGCCCGCGTGCGCGCCCCGCGCCGGCGGCTCGCGCCTGGCCGAGCCCTGGTTTTTAGACATGCAACACCCGGTTAAACACACAAACAAACAAACAAACAAACAACAGCAACACCGCGATCAGCCCTTTCGCAGAGCTGCCTGTCTGTTTACCTGTGTGGCGTGAACGCTGCGAGTTCGCAGCGGAGCGGCGATGCGTGACCTATTGCAGCATTGTTTGGATGCACAGTTTGGAGCAAACTAATGGAGTTTAAAACATCAGATCGTTTTTTTTTCTTAAGCGTATTAAATCGTCCGCTCCACATAAATACAACATCTGTGACTTTCATACTTTTTAAATCCACTGCAGCTTTCTCCCGATCAGCAGTTTCTGCCGCCGCACTGTGAGGGAAGACTCTACACGGCGCTGCTCGCCGGTTCGTCAGGAAGCAGCAGCAGCAGGGAAAGCGCTATGCAGCGCCACCTTGTGGCAAATAAAAGTGCGCAAAGCACTTGTGCCTGTTGTGTACCTGTTGCACGCAAAGCTGTGTTATAGAAACGTTCACAGAGCTGCAGTGTTGAGCAGTTGCATCACAGATGACGGTTTTTAGTTACTGTAGTTAGTGTTTGATTGCGAAGCCTAAGTATTGTAATGCCATTTTGTTGTTAAAATCAATTTGGTACATTTCGAAGCAGTGGATACTAGCCTGTCTCAGGTCTAACAATATTTCGGAACAGATACTGGTTCGGTTCTTGCTGAAAGGGAAAGCAAAACGAAGGAACACGGCTAAAACGTTGTGCTTCTTTTCTTTAGCTTTCAGCAGGGAACAGACCTTTACCTGTGTCCCTTTGCAGCCTACGCATGGTGACGCAACCACGTTCTCAAAAGAATAGTTGTTTTTCCCCTTTTATGCTCCACAGACAGGATCCACGTCCCCCAGCAGTGAAGTGCAGCGCCACCTAGTGTTGGATGCAAGCGGAGAAAGGACATCGCCAGGTGAATTAATGAGAATTTCAAGGAGGGCACATAGTACAAACCCGGAGTCGGAATTTAGCTCTGCTCCTACAGACAAGGACAAGTTCACGGACAAGGGGTCTTTAGCGAGCAAATAGGACCTTCGTCTAACGCCTCCTGTGAAGGAGAACACCTACACGTGGCACACTGTCCTGGGGATTTTACTCGTTTGCAGAGCTGGATTAAGAAAGAACCTTGTAGTTGCTGGGCACTTCTCTTTCACAGTCCCTGGATTAGGTGGAGGAGTATTTATAGGAGTTCTGATGTCTCAGATTAGATACGTGATCAAAATTATGTTGAATGATTTGTTTCAGATGGCCCATCGTCGCTGTGTATGGGATATATTCAAAAATATCTATGTTACAGTTTATATTATAGAAATATCTTAAAATGTGGACATCGATTTTATCCTAGGCTCGTTATCGTTATATTTCATATCGTGATCGTTAAATTATCATAGGCCCTATGCACAGTGCATGCTAGGTAATATGGCGCTGCTAGTTGGTCCATTAGCTCTGCGATGCATATCTGAGTCTTGTTATAACAATTTATTTCAAAATGCTTGTACTTGTTCTAGTAGGTCTTCTATGGAATTCTTCGGGATACGGCTTTGTTGAATGGGTTCTGTTAAATCACACCGGTAAACCAGCAGAAGGAAACTCAGTGTGGGTCAGTGTAGTTTGCTACGGTGAGAGTACGACATCTAGTGTTCATCTGGGGTCATAATTCCATTCCGAGTAAATACTTCAAAAGAGTACTCATTCTTAGCGATAAAGTATCGCGTTGAATACCTTATGTTTCAAACATATAATCTCAAAGTTTGGCTTTATCTTTATTGAATCTCATACATTATGGAGAAAATTAATTTAAACGTGGGATGCGAATTGATCTTTTTCAGGTTTAAAATATGTATCGTTAAACTTTACTGGATCATAAAAGTTAACAGTGGGTTTAATTTGATATATTTGCAGAGCTGTAGATCAGGTTACAGGCAGCAAAAACACAGATGATCAGAGGGGGTTTTCTGGTGAATTACTCCGGTGAATTATAATAAAGGATAACATTGTGCGCACAGAAACACAGAATATCAAAACCAGAGGAAACCAAGGAAGATAGGAAAGAAACAGTGAGAAAAAAACATCTCCCTTCTCTTCCTTGAAGCCTGTCTCATGTGAGAGGACCTTGTCCTGGCCAGCCTTGGAGACCGGGTCCTGTAATGTGAACCTTGTTTTAATGAGACTGCTGTCCCATTTATTTAAAATGATTCTAGCTGTCCTGTAGCCTGTAGCAGGCAGCTATATCACCCTGCTACTCACAACTGGCCGCCCATGTGCGTCAAATTATACCTGCTGCTCGAGTTTATTCATTTTCATTATTTTATTTTCCACTTTGTGAGAAAGTCCAGAAACCCCTGCTATGGAGGTGCAGTCCTTGGTGTGATAAAGTACAGACCTTTATCACACCAAGGATTCTATTGAGGCTTTTATAAGAGTTCCTGCGCGTTTAATATTGAAGCATCATTACTGCTGAGTCATCATTAATTGTTTTAGTGCAGACGAAGGTCCCTCTCTCTCATGAGATAGGATTGAGTTAGAAATGCATTCTGCTCATTCCAGCTCACCCCAGACAATAATAAAGTATAAACATTCTGCACACAGATACACAGTGTAAGAAAACAGGTGGGAACTGAAGGAAAACATAATCCCATCTCCTCTTCCTTAACACCTCCAGCTTGCCCTGGTCCTGTAATTGAATGGTTTGTCCATCCCCAGTTGGCCAAGTGTGCAAGACATTGTCCAGGGGCATCTGTGGGTTTGACTTTGTTCGGACTGTCTCTCTTGCTGCAGCCATGTCGTGTCATATTTTTCTTCAATGTTGTACTTCTGGAACAAGTCTGAGAAACTAAGAAAAGTGTAATTTTCCAAAAATGAAAATAAAGATGTCTTGAATGGCAGGGCTGTGTGCTAGTGGGGTTCACCTCGGGATCACTGGGGGTTCCCCCTTTAGCATCTAACTGTGAGGACACCCCAAAGGCTCTGACACGCAGTGTCTTCGTGCCTCTTTTAACAGCAACGTGATTAAAACAACAGCAACTGAAAACCTGTTAGATTACTTATTGAGTAGAAACGCAATTTATATTTGTGGACCTTTATATACGTTTGCCTTTCACCAGGGTTCAGAATGCAGTGCACGAAGATGAGTCAAAGTGTATGCTTTCATTATTCAAATACAAACTGGGTAAAACAAACTACTACAGTAATAATAATAATTATAATAATTGCTTACACTTATATAGCGCTTTTCTGGACACTCCACTCAAAGCGCTTTACAGGTAATGGGGACTCCCCTCCACCACCACCAGTGTGCAGCCCCACCTGGATGATGCGACGGCAGCCATAGTGCGCCAGAACGCTCACCACACATCAGATATCAGTGGGGAGGAGAGCAGAGTAATGTAACCAATTCATAGAGGGGGATTATTAGGAGGCCATGATTGGTAAGGGCCAATGGGAAATTTTGCCAGGACACCGGGGTTACACCCCTACTCTTTTCGAGAAACACCCTGGGATTTTTAATGACCACAGAGAGTCAGGACCTATCCGCAGGACGGCGCCTGTTTTCAGTCTAGTGTCCCCCGTCACTATACTGGGGCATTAGGACCCACATGGACCACAGGGTGAGCGCCCCCTGCTGCCCCCACTAACACCTCTTCCAGGGCAACAGTAACGTGTAAGTAAGAGAATACGGCCTTTCCAATCAGACTGGATGCGACCCTGGTCTCTCTTGTGGAGCAGCAAAGTGTCTGAGGGAGGGCCAGACCTCTCAGCCCTGTGTCCTTTGTGTCTGCTGCCCTCCTGAGTCTTCTGTGTTCTCTGTTCCTTGGCTGATTCTCCTCGAGACGCAGGAGCTCGCTCTCTGTGGTCAATGTGCACACCTATCCCACAAGGCTGCAGCGAGAGAGGGAAGGCTTACTGTGCCCCTGGAATCCTGCCAGCTCAACACAGAGTAGGGAGGAGATCCCAAAGCAGAAATCGAGGCCAGCTAGACGAGTGTTTGGTAGCTGGTATGTTAGGGGCTGTGGGCAGGGCTCTGTGGAAGACAGACATCCTCTGTGTGAATGTAAATCCCTTTGGGGAAAAATACAATGTCAGCTGAACAACAACAATAAGAAGTATGTAAGACAGTGGTATAGGAACAGGTCTAGAAGGATGCTGAATAATTGCTAAATAGAAGTATAAGAAGATAATGGCTTTATATAAAATTATTTATGAAAATTATTATTGTAACAGATCTCTAATGGCCAGTGATCATTACATAACTGTGAATTGTTTGCTATAAAGAAGACATAATACTTTCTTTTAGTATACTTTTAATGGTTCTGGCATACTTTCTCGAGGTGTACCGCTGGTAAATAATAACTATAATGTCCCTATCAGTATACTGGGGCATTAAGACCCACACAGACCACAGGGTGAGCACCCCCTGCTGGCCCCACTAACACCTCTTCCAGCAGCAACCTTAGTTTTTCCCAGGAGTCTCTCATCCAGGTACTGACCAGGCTCACACCTGCTGAGCTCCAGTGGGCTGCCAGCTGGGAGTGACAGGGTGACATAGCTGCTGGCATTTAGTTGCCGATTAAATATTTCACATAAATCATCATAAAGATTGTCAGTGAAAGTTTTAATGATAAGCAAGTATCACCTTGGAAAAAAAGCACAATTCCTGAACTCTTTGTATTTGATTTTTAAACCCCTAATAAAGTAAATTACATATTTTACTTTATTTCTGAAGTCTGTATCTTTGATTAAATCCATTAAGCACCAGAATGCTGTATAACTACCCCAAGTTAATTAGATACCTTGGAGTGCATTAGTGTCAAAAAACCTCATTGTTACGAGTGAGTAGGAAGCTGAGAAGAAAAGGGTCAGGTAAATGATGAAGATTTACCAATCTAGTGCTCACAGGATTTCTTGTTTGCACAAAAAAGTGAGTTTGTAATGAGAGGGCATTATGTAAAAACACCTGGAAACAATACCAAATCCATAATCCGGCTACCTGCCTGCGCCATCAACAAGTTGTCTTACCTGCTGATAGACACATTAGCTTTCAAACTGCCGTCAGCGAATACTTTAACTAAGTGTACAATTTTTAACCTGGTCTTCAAAACTTTTAAACTTGTTTTCCAAGTGTCTCTATGTTGAATTCTATGCTCGTCTAAAACGTCCACATAAATCATTTAAATTCCGTTTTCTGTGGTGTAAGAAAGAGGAAATCAGAGCCGGGATTATGAAATTGAAATTTTGGATTATGCAACGTCCTTGGTGGTGAACTTGTTACATTTGTTCATTGAGCCTCATTTTAGATTCATAAAACAACACAGAATCTAAAACAAGCCATTTGTTTATACAATTATTGGAATGCTTATATTTGTTTCTGTGCCTGTTCTTTGATCACTTATACTTGTGTTTCATGAAAACTGTTGCACAGAGAGAAAAATGCTCAGCAAACTACATAATGGGTGTGATGGAGACACCTGGTGGCCACAACAGCCTATAGCATGTGAGAACACAGGAGTTGTAGTCCGGACTGCGGAGTGTTTTCTCCTCATGCAACACAGACAGGGCAGGCTGCATACTAAACAACCCTCTGGGGGAGCGAAGAGCCTCCTCTCCTCTCCTGAATTATACGTATCATTTCCCTCTCGTTTCCAACTCGGTTCCCTGGTTTGTGTCCTTTGTCAAAGAAACACGAATCAGGCAACATTTGTAGTCTTTTCTGATTGAGATGAATGAGATTAACTTATTATTAACTTTATTGTGGGTTTATTGAACCTGTCACGATATCAGACAGGTTGTTATTTCAGTTCTGATTCCAACATATTTTTGGAAAAATGTGGCGACTAAAATTGTTTGCATAATTCTCGCCGAGGCCTTGCTCGAGTACAGTACAACTTTATTAATATTAGGTGGGTAGCTGCGTCAGGTTTATTCCATGCTGAAAAAAAGAAAGAGAACACAACGTTTCGGCTGTGGAGCCTTCTTCAGGTGTGATTCAGGTTAATATTTATTAATATTACAAATATGCAGTTTACCAACTACATATTCACCAAAGCTATATTCCACACAGAATACAATGGAAACATTCATTAGGGACGAATATTGGATTCTTCAATCATTATAATGGTAGTAAATTGATCAGCTAAAGATCTAGCTCAACACTGCTATTTCAGTGACATGAACTCAGACTGGTTGGCTTTCATGAGCTTACCACAAAGAAAGAACTTTGGCTTTTAAGGAAGTCCCTCAAGCACACTTCTCCATTTCTAATATAGGAGAGAACTACTATTTTTTAAGTGACGCAATCAACCACAATGAGCCTTGAGATGAGGCATCGCACAAGGCACTGTGGGGCTAGTAAATGCATTTTCCCGAAATAACCATAAAGCACTTAATGCAGTACAAATAATTGATCATCTCCAGAAATTGTTCAACCTTACAGTCCAATGTAAGAGTAACCCAACAGTATCAATGACCATGGGCAGTATTCGGAGTAGCAATAATATTCATTGCTGAGGATTTCTCAATAGTGTTCGTATAACAGTATACACATAACAGCATACAAGAATAAAGAGAAGACATACATTATCAAGAGTAAACAGAGGTCTTCAAGTGACCTCAACAGCCTGAGTGTCTCTCATGGACTGGGGAAGCATGGTCTTCAGCACAGTGAAAGTCTTAAATCAGCAGATCGAAGGTCAAGAGTTGGACCACACCCATGTAACATAGTGGCTTAACAGAGGGAGCCGGTCATGGTCGGGGGCTGTCCGCCCCTAACTGGTGGATTCGGGGGTGCAGAACCCTCCGGATCGGCCACAGCTGCTCCCCTACTGCCCCCCCCCCAGGCAGGACCCACACCTTCAGCCCCTTCGCCCTGCGAACGTGTGGCTCATCCGCTAGGTAGCTCGGGCGGGACTCCCGCAGATTCCGTCTTTGTTTCGTGGGCCGCCCGCTGGAGAGACGCGGGGGCACGGATCCCGGGATCGAGAGCGGCGACTAGTAGACGGGGTTGTGCAAGGGAATAGTCCCGATGACCACCGGGAAAGTCACTTCGATGTCGAAAGCACGAGGAATATCCACGTAAACCTGGAGAAGAAAAATGCAGTTAGACCCTAACATCCCTGTCAATTACCCTGCCCTCATCTGTCTTCTAAATTTCTACTCTTTAGCGTTGACCGAGCCTCAGGTTAGTCCTTTCCTGACAATTGCGCTGCGTTAAGCAATCAAGGATCACCACAGGTGTTGTTTTGCTTACACTGAAGTTACAGTAAAAACGCGAGAGGTTACAAAGACACAGGGTTTAGCCTGTGTTTTTGCAGCGTTTCCAAAGAAAATCATAGGTTACGCCCATCCTCTGTATCGGCTTTCAACGCCTCAAAAGAACTCCTTCAAAAGAGCTGAAGCTTGCAGAGACAACGGTCAGCTGCTCCGCGGATAAAATGTTAAGTTTTCCATCGAGCGTCTGGCCTGCAGTTCAACAGCGGGTCAGGCATGCGACTGGGAAGGAGAGGAGAAGGGTGGCTTCCTCGCGGGCGCGGACAAGAGTGAGAGGAGGAGATGGCGATACGCACCACCACGCTGTACTCCACGCTCATCAGGGCGCAGTTCAGGAGCGAGATGGGCGTGTCCGGAGGAATGTGGAGGACTCCTCCGCTCCACGCGTCTCTCCTCCTGCCGCCCACGGGCGGCCCCTCCAGACTGGCGATGCGCTTGGGGACGCACTTCGTCTTCCCCTGGGCGTGGAAGGTCTGCAGCTGCTGAAGGGCCACCTTCGGCCTGACCTCGCGCGAAGACCCGTTCTCGACCTCTGTGAAGACTCTGATGAAGTCTCCTGGCAGTGGCAGGAACACAGCACAGGGCAACGTTCATACTGCGCAGTCACACCTGGTTTTGTATCACCAAACCAGGATTTTATAGATATTATTCATACCAGAGCTGGTCCTAGTTTTGTGGGGGGCCTGGGCAAGATCTTGCCCACCCCCAACTTATTTTACCAGTTAGAACAGTGGTTCTCAAACTGTGGAGCCTATCCCATGGAGGCTAGAACTTGCAACATCACCATGCCGCGGAGTAATTTGGGGTATCTGGGGGTGATCCCCTTCACCGATGCGGACCTCAGAGGGGGGGGTACATTAAAGACGCACAGATTTAGAAATGGGGACACCCTGAGCCCTTGCAGACCTGAGCAGAATCGTGCACATGAAGGGCACAAGACCACAAGCGTGTATATAGGGACACAGGCCCTAGTGATACACCTCCCGTAGCCGAACTTGAAAATGTGGCTCGTCTACCCCGTCCGCTAGTGAAGAAAGATATAAGATGTGAAGAAGGGGTTATAACTGATTCCTTTCTGCATGAGGACTGAACATTCCAGGCTTAGGGTTATGGCAGGGAGGGGAGATAACTGATAAGGATTCCAGATGCCCCCCTTCTCAAGGAAGGAAACCTAACACTGACCATTTGGCCAAAGTCTGTGAACCGTCTGAACTTCTAACCTCCCCCAATTACCATAGAAATGAGCTACGTCAGAAGTGGCAGAAAAGGGCTATATAAACTGGAAGTTTGGACCGGCACTTTGAAAAATACTTCATCTTTATTGTTCCTTGCATGCAATAAAACTCATCTGTTTAACTTCCTTTCGGGATCCCGAACTTATTTGTCTGTTACAACACCAGCTACGTGGATCTGACGGACTCGAAAGCAAATGAAATCCAATTGACATTATCCCGCATAGGATGAATTATTACTGTGACTTGAGCGCACCTATGTTTTAATATCACTCGTCTCCGCTCAGAGATATATTCAACCATTATGATTGGTCATTTTTCCATTAGGATAATCCACGGCATAAACAGAAAGAGCCACTACAGGGAATTCTCCACTCACAGTTGAACGTGCCGATTAAACATATGCTGTGTCGCACACTGGGGGGCTTATACTAATAATGTATTTATATTATTAGGTAATAAAACCAGCTTTGTTAAAGAAGTCAATACTCTGGCAGCCCAACCTGATCAAACAATGTGAAAACAAGATCTCAAATTAATTATCTTTGTGATCTCAGGTGCCACATGGATCTGAGGTGCTGGACATCGGCGCAGTCGTGAGCCTAATGGAACCTCCCCTGTCTCCCACCTCCCAACTTTTTCGTGACCTGCGTCTAGTTTTGGAAAGTTACCAGGGATAGTGGATGTGGAATTAAGACACAGGGCAGGAGGGTCAGAGTGACACTCCCTCAGAAACACCTGGACAGACGCCGGGCGATCCTTGAGCTCTCACCTGGGGTGTAGCCCTTCCTCTCAATCCTGGCATTCAGGATGATGGGGCCCGAGGTACAGCACAGGCAACCCAGAGTCTTCTCTTTCGATCCCAGCTGCTGCGACTGGACACAACAAGGCAGGAGAGAGGCCTTAGCAACCCTCTGTGTCAGGGCTGGCTGACATCGTAGGCTCAACATGCAAACCATTATAGCAGGGTTTCTCACTGCAGCCAGCGGGACCCCTGCACGTACGCGTCTGTATTTACTGCTGTAATGGAGGGCACATGCTGTTGGACAGGTGTAGAGTAAAATATACGATTATCAATAATAATAACAACAACTTTCACGGCACCCTGCTTATCTAAAAATTAATTATTATTATCATCGTCAATAGTTAAAGGCCAGAGGGACATTTGGCCAGGACACCAGGGTTAATCCTCTACTCTTTTCAAGAACCACCCTGGGATTTTTAATGACCACAGAGAGTCAGGACCTCGGTTTTACGTCTCATCCAAAGGACGGCGCCTTTTTACAGCATACTGTCCCCGTCACTATACTGGGGCATTAGGACCCACGTGGTCCGCAGGGTCAGCACCCCCTGCTGGCCCCACTAACACCTCTTCCAGCAGCAACCTTAGTTTTCCCATCCAGGTACTGGCCAGGCTCACACCTGCTGGGCTTCAGTGGGCTGCCAGCTGTGAGTTGCAGGGTGATGGAGCTGGTGGCATTCATACTGTATATACCACCTGGGATAAGCAGCCTTAGTTTTTCCCAGGAGTCTCCCATCCAGGTAGCTGGAAGCTGGAAGCTGCAGGGTGCTGGAGTTGCTGGCACATTACCTGACTCTCACACCGGCTACCTGCTGATTGTGGGCGCGCGCACGATTACCGTTCTGTGATGGAGCGAGAGCACCACCACCACCACCACAACCGTCAAGAGCCACGCTTATTCCCTCTTACGCTGGAGAGCTCATGGTGAGCGCTATCAAGGAACAATAAAGGGCTTCTCATCAAGAGCAACTGTGGCGGCACCCTGTTTCATCTAAACCACATCCCCAGAACCAAGAGCCCCACGATCAGTGAAACTCTCCATCACCATAATTTAAGACACTGTGCGAGACAGGAAGTGCAGGGGGAAATGCCTTCACATTGCATGCTTCCCATTCCTGCTGAGCCTCCACAGCGCAGTCCGAGTAACCCTTGCACGGGACCGATACTTAACCAGGAGGTCAGGCAAGTTGATGTCGATGTGCCTGACCACGGTGAACTCCTTCTCAGCTCGGCTCGCCAGATGCCACGGTCTGTGCAGCTTCGCCTTCAGGAAGTACCTGACCTTCCCATGAGCCCCAGCGAAGGACGACGGCAAATCCCTGTTCAGGGAGACGATTTGTGAAGACACATTAAATAAAACGCTCCTAACCCAGCCTCCAGGGCTGTCAGGGGCTCTTAGGGATGTCTTAGGACAAAGCCAGTATTTACTCTCATCTTAAGGTATTACGTTAACATAATTAAAAATGTTACCCTACAGCTGAAAGCCTGAAACACGTGTTTCATTGATATGCCCTGCTAATCAACTTTGCTCTGTATTTATTCTAAAAACTTCAGAATATAACTATTGAGTATTTTAATGCAACGTGCGTAAGAAATACAGTACTTTAGTTATATAATTAATTCCTTGGATTTACAACATAATTAAAAATTGTGGTGGTGAGACCCAAAGGATCCCACTGTGCCTCACACACAGGGGACCCACTTCAATCCAGCGTCCAGTGGTCACAGAGAAATTTCTTCGCTGGCTGATTAATGGATGTCGAACCCGATTCCTGTGGGGGCAGGGGGTGGCAGTGTCTTTTGGCACGCAGGCTCTCAGTTCCATTGTTGGTCTAATTATTGAATTAACTGCCACCGTACCTCTGGTGCATATTTAAGGATGCACCAGTAAGACAAATCCTGCTTGTCTAAGAAAAGTCATCTTAACTGTATAACTGCTTGGACTGGAATAAAGAAACACACGTTCTTGATTCTAGGCCCCTTTAACCGAGTTTGGCAGGCCTGTGTTAAGCAATATTTAATTCAAAGTCATCTCAGTGCTAAAGCATGACACTTAAATCAAAGCCGAATTTCCAACCAGTCGAAGGTGTATGTTAAGATGCCGGAGAGAAACCTTTTCATATTTTCTTACTCACATTTGAGGAATCTGAAGAGCAAACTGATACACATGACATCCAGGGGGGATGACAACTCCATCTGGAAAATAAAATAGAGAAATATACAACCATAAAGCTGCTTTTAAATCATACAACCCTGAAGAACCACAAGCAAAAGCTGAAGGGATTGTAAAAGTTAAGGACATTTCCGAGAACAGCAGACACTTCTCTACACAAAGAGATGTGAGAGAGTGGAACAAACCACCCAGCCATGGCTTTGAAGCCAATATTCTAGCTTAGTGCAAAACAAAGCTGGATAGGATCCTCAAATCACAGCAGGTCTCTACACAAAGAGTAGTGGGAGTGTGGGACAAGCTGCCCAGCCACATTGCTGAAACAACCGGATGGGATCAATTGGCTACAGACTACCAAACGGACAAGGTGAAACAACTGGCCTCCTCTAGTTTGTCACCTTATGTTTCCACATTCACAGACTGACCCAAACTCTACTCTCTCAGGGACTCAACATCAGTGATGGAGACCCTATTACTTTGGATGAAACGTAAAACTGAGGTCCTGACTCTCCGTCGTCATTAAAAATCCCAGGGTGTTTCTGGAAAAGAGTAGGGGTGTTAACCTGGTGTCCTGGTCAAATTCCCCCCTGGCCTTCCCCAGTCATGGCCTCCTAATAGTCCCCATCTCTGAACTGGCTTCATCACTCTGCTCTCCTCCCCATGGAGAGCTGGTGTGTGGGGAGTGGACTGGTGGTGGTGGAGGGGATCCCCATTACCTGTAAAGCACTTTGAGTGGAGTGTCCAGAAAAGCGCTCTATAAGTGTAAGCAATTATTATTGTTATAGAAGTACTTATACAAGCTTTATAGGTGTAAAAAATAGAATAACTTATTATTATAAAATATAAAAATATATGTATGCACTTATACAAGCTATGTAGATATAAAAATAATATTTTTTACTATTAATTGTAATAAGAAATATTTATACACATATACAAGCTATGCAGGTGTAAAAATAACAATTTGTTATTATTAAAATTAATAATAAAATACACAATTATTATTATTACACCTATATAGCTTGTATAAGTACTTATATAACAAGAACAACAATAATAATTCCTTACGCTTAAATAGCGCTCATTATTCCGGACCGGAAGAGTCCCACCGCACATGCGCACGACGCCGGCGCGGGATCCTGCAAGTTCCCAAATCCGCAAAACTACCCACGGTACACATCGTTTTAGTTTTATTAAAAAATCAAAAATTCAGAAATCAAGCCACGAAAGTTTAAAAAATCAAAAACAGAACACGCCGACAGGAAGCAGGGTCCCGACTCGAGCACCAGCCCACCCCTCTCTCTGCAAAGAGGCTCCTGAGGAGCAAGACCAGAGGAGACGACGAGACACTCGCTCTCTCCCTCTCTCGGTTCAGTTCAAGGTGCTTTATTAGCATGCCCGGTGGGTACAATCCGTGTCGCCAAAGCAAATAAAAATCTAATTAACACGAACCGAAACAAAACCAAAAAATCTACAGACATATTACAGACATTTACAGCAAAGACATATCACAGAATATTTACATATGCTGTAAACATATGGGGCATTACTGGGAGACGGGCTCACTGT